AAAAGTATTTTGGTGGTAAGAAAGGCTGGGCCCGGTTGTACGAAGCATGGATAGTGCTATCCGGAGGATAACTCCTTATCCAGTGGATAAGTCGATGCTGTTATCCAATAAATTTATCCACCGGATAAGATTTATCCGTCGGAAAGCGCTATCCAGGCTTCGTACAACCTGGCCCTGATGTTTAATTATTTGAATGTAGAAATTTCTACTTTTCTCGAGAAAAGAAAATCGTGAAAAGACGAACAAACAATAACAAAATAATGATGAAACAAATCTTTTTTTTAAATTAATAACCCCCAAAAAAAAAACTTTTTGAAAAACGTTTCTAGAGTAGCTGAAAAGCATTTCGAAGTTTGACAAATACATAACTAACATGACTAAAACAGAGTTCAATGCCTGTCTAAAACAATTTAACCGGGTTCGGCTAGACAACAAAACCACAACATGGTTGATTTCCATTCGAGCAGCTATCGACAGGTGTTTGGAAATATCTTTTTTATAAATTAAATTAAAAAAGCGTTATTTTCTCATAATCCAGTGATTGTCTATATAATATAAGCCAGGATGCCTCGTTGGCCATGAGCTTATATACGACGAGAGTTTGTGAAATAACTGTTAAATACCTCACAAAATACAGTTCTACTTCTCGCCACTGTTGCAGCAACAAAATTGCAAGACATTTTTAGTGTATTAAACTTAACAATTTCTTGTGCAACTCAAGTCGCAATGAAGAACTACGACTTTAGACAACCAAAATATGAAAGAATCAACATTTTTTAATGATCGATTTTGATTCAATCGCAAGAAAATTTTTTTGTTTAAGTCTTGATTCTACGCGTTGAAAGAAATCACTCCTTTTGGTTTATAACGGCTAAATTAAACTCATTTAGAATAACGACCACATCTTCCTGCTGCTTTGCCCTTCTTTGTCTTCTTCAAGGCATTTATTAGTCTTTTTGTACCTGCCAATTTCCTATTTCTATTTCATCAATAAATTCCATCTATGTCAGTTCCTCCTTTCCCACTGGCTTTGTTGGATCCTTCATGTTTATAATTCCTTGACTTATAATTCCTACTAACTGCCTGTGTGTTACCTTGATGATCCCCCAACAATCATTTTAGGGGGTTATTACATAATTCTTAACTATACCATTCTAAGCTGCACTTTCTGCTGCTGCTGCTCTTTTAACCATCATGAAATTATGAAAATCAAATCCAACAAATCAACAATAGGAATTCCTCCAAAATGCATTAAAACCGCTTGTGAGCAAATTTCAGAGCCTTTATCAATGATTTTCAATAAATCTCTGCTTCAGGGGATAGTTCCTGATATTCTCAAAATCTCTAAAGTTACTCCCATCGATAAAGGGGGCAATCCCACAGACCCAGACCCATATCTACACTGTCAACGTTTTCTCAAATCTTCGAAAAGCTTATTTATAATCAGCTTATCAACTACATTGAAAAACAAAACATTTTGTATGAGTTTCAGTTCGGTTTCAGAAAAGGCAGCTCCACGGCATTGGCCATCGCTGAAATTACTGACAGCCTTAGGAAAGCTATTGATAACGATGTCTACACTTGTGGGGTGTCTTTAGACTTTTCTAAAGCTTTCGATTCTGTAAACCAAAATTCTAATCAACAAGTTAGAGAAATATGGAATTTGCGGGATCCCTTTGAAATGGTTTTGCAGTTATCCAAAGGATAGAAAACAATACGTTTCATTTAACAATGTGAAATCAGAAATGCAAACTATAACATGTGGTATTCCCCATGGAGTTCATTGGGACCTTTATTGTTTTTACTGTATATAAATGATCTTCCAAAATGCACAGGAAAATTCAAATTAAAAATTTTTGCACACGATACAAATATATTCGCCTCTGCAAATGATCTTGAGGTGGCTCGGTATTTCCAAATGGCCGAATCGCTTATGTCGATTTTGGACTCATAACTTTTGCGCCCTTTAAGCAATTGCCATAAATCTTTACCAACATCTAAAACAATCATTTAGTTATAATATGGTATATTCTGATTGCATTTCAGGTTAATAATTGTAAGATGTAAGCGATTAAGCAAATGCACTGTTTTCACAAAAACTCGATTTTGCGAAAAATCTGTTCGTTTTATTTCAACGAAAATTTTGGGATCCTTTTAGATAAACATAACACACAACCTGGCCAAGTTTAAAGAAATTCCTTGGCGCTGAAATACCGCTACAGAAAGCTCCCCTAAATTCACCATTGTGATAATCTTTTAAAGTTGTGAACTAAATAGTCTTTGACTAAACATGCTTGAAAGCCATAGTTTTTAAAAAGTAACGGCAATTTAAGTTATCTGTTGTGAATTGGGTCGCAAAATATAGTAAAAGACACAAGATAAACTCAACTCGATTTTACTGACTCCATTACTTCCTCAGCTCGCACGTGTGTTTACAATTTATCCGCGGGGGGTCCCTAACCCTGGGCATACATAATAACTAACGTAACCTCTATACATATCAATTCCCCTCTCTTAAGAAACAAAATACATAGATACGGCAAAATGCTAAGTGTTCAGTGTCCCTACTCTTTTTTTTTTTAAAACAACAACGTTAGTATGAATGATTCTAGTTTCATTCCCATCCGTAACGGGAAGGTGGCTTGCGTTCTCGTGGAGGATTCCGCCTCGGTACTGAAGCCGTTGGTGCTGTGGCAACAGTTGGCTTGGGTTCTGTAGCTTTCGGAGTAGATGCAGCAACTTGTGGGTTAACGTGAAGTGTCTGCGACGTACTCTCAGCAGAACGGCGATTTTTTTCTGGAGGACCGTTAGTCGATTCTTCTGTCCTTGATGGTGTTTCCGGTAGACGTTGCGGTACTGTTCCTGTAGGTGTTACGCCAGGATGTCTTTCAAGAACTGGAACAACAGCAGGTGGCGTAGGAATGCTACCTTCTGACTTGCACTGCATGGATCGGAGCCGAAGTTGATCTTCATGCCTCATCCATACTGGTTGTCCATCTACGTGTACATAGTACTATCGTTGCAATACTTCAATAACGATCCCTGGCAACCAACGAGGACCAGCACGGAGATTAAGTACATACACTTTATCTCCCACTGCAAACTTGGGCAGGCAACTTGTGTTCTGCTCAAATGTTTCGGCATCCTTCTGGCTATCAAGTGAAGGTCTCAGGCTTGAGAACCTTGTCCTTAACTGTCTACGCATCAGCAAATATGCAGGGCTCTCTGTCGTTGTAGGGTGTGGCGTACATCTGTAAGTAAGGAGGATACGCGATATCTTATCCTGTAAGGTACCCTCATCCTTCTCCATCTTCTTCAACTGTGATTTAAAATACCTGACATAGCGTTCAGCCATACCGTTTGATGCCGTATGGCCTGGAGGTGTCAGAGTGTGTCGGATGTTGTTTTTCATCAGGAATTCTTTAAATTCGCTACTGGAAAACTGCGGGCCATTATCTGAAACGATATGTTCTGGGAGGCCTAAATTAGCAAACACTTTCCTGAGCTGTTGTATGGTTGCAGTAGTTGTAGTGGATTTCATGGGTATCACTTCTAACCACTTAGAGTACGAGTCAATGACAACAAGAAACATGCTACCCATATAAGGACCAGCATAATCAATATGTAGTCTCTTCCAAGGGCCAGATGGCCAGTTCCACTTAGCTACGGGTAGACTAGGAGGGGCAGAAGCAGTTTCCTGGCAGCTTGCGCAATTCTTAGCTATCTGCTCGATCTCGTCATTCATCTTAGGCCACCAGAAATACTGTCTGGCTAGCCCCTTCATTCTAACAGTTCCTGTGTGTTCACTATGAAGGTCCAACAAGAGTGTGGGTCTGAGTGTGGAGGGTATAACGACTCTGCTTCCCCACAACACACATCCTTGTTCGACAGTTAATTCAGTTTTGCGTGAGAAGTATGGTTGCAATTTATCATCATCACACTTACTTGGCCAGCCTTCTCTAGTTGATTGCAGTACCTTTGCCAAGCAGGGATCCTTTTGCGTTTCTGACGCCACTGTCTTAGCTGTAAGGGGAAGTTGACTCAGCAACTCTTCATCAATCAGCAGTACATCTTCCTGCTCTGGCAAGTCGGACAAATCAGGTGGTTCCTGTAATGGAGCTCGAGACAAATAGTCAGCACATGCATTTTCTTTTGAAGAAATGTGCTTTATCTTGTAACTGTACGCAGATAAGATCAGTGCCCAACGTTTAATTCTCGCAGCAGCAAGTTGGGGTATTGCGGTATGTTCCACAAAGAGCTTAACGAGAGGTTGGTGATCAGTTTCTAACGTGAAGGTGCGTCCTAGCAAATACTGTCGGAATTTCTGTACACCATAAATGATTCCAAGAGCTTCACGCTCAATCTGTGCATAGTTTTTCTCAGCACTTGTGAGACTACGGGAAGCAAAATGAACTGGTTTCAACTCACCATTCGGGCCAGGCTGTTGTAATACTGCACCAATGCCGTACGAAGAGGCATCACAAGAAAGTACTAGCTCAGCATCAGGGTCATAATGAGCTAGCATAACATCTTCACTCATCATCTTCTTAATCTTTTGGAACGATGACTGTTGTTCGCTCTTCCACGACCATGCCTCGTCATTCCTCAGTAACTTGTATAAAGGCGCCATGCGGTGTGCAAGATTTGGGAGTAGTCTGGCATAGTAGTTTACCAACCCAATGAAGGTACGCAATTCGTTTACGTTGGTTGGCGTAGGTGCTTCTTTGATTGCTCTCACCTTAGACTCTGTTGGGTTGATACCATCTTTAGTGACCTTGAAACCCAAGTACTCGACTTCAGGGAGCATGAACTGACACTTTGTCATCTGTAGACACAGGCCATTTTCTTGTAAACGTGTCAAGACTCCTCGTAGGTTAGATAAATGCTCTGTATCATGACGGCCTGTGACAAGAACATCATCTATGTAAACGCTGACATTTGGAAGTCCCTTAAGGAGATTCTCCATCGTGCGCTGGAACAGACCAACTGCACACGAACTCCACAAGGCAGTCTCTTGTACTTGAATAAACCAACATGAGTGTTTATGGTGGTTAGTTCCTGAGATGCTTTATCAAGGGGTATTTGGTGGTAAGCTTGTGATAAGTCAAGCTTTGTGAACTTCTCACCATGAGACAAACTTGCAAATATTTCATCAACTAATGGTAGGGGGTATTTATCTTGTTTAGCTACCTTGTTTACAGTAACCTTATAGTCCCCACAAAGGTGAGCATCTCCCTTTGCTTTCACCACAGGTACTACAGGGGTAGCCCAGTCAGAGTGAACTACTTTCTCTATGACTCCTTGACTCTCTAATTTCTGTAGGGCATCTTCAACTTTCTTTTTCATAGCGAATGGGAGGGGTCTGGCTTTGCAGAACTGGGGTGTGGCACCCTCCTCAATATCTATGTGGGCCTCAACTCCCTTGAGACAACCCAATTCAGAATTAAATAACTCATCATACTCTGCTAACAGGCTGTCAAGCTCTGGTGGCTGCTTTACAATGTCTACATTGAAAATCTTCTTCCAAGGTACTCTTATTTCTTGTAACCAGTCACGGCCAAACAATGGGGGCCCGTTCCCTTCGACTACTTTGAGGGGTAATCTTGCGGATTGGTCTCCAACTGCTACATTGACTAGCTTTTCTCCCACGACTGTAAGTTTGTTGCCTGTATAAGAGCGCAGCTTAACAGAGGCTGGATCCAATGGTGTGTTTCCAAAATGTCTAACAAAGTCAGTCTGGTTGATAAGCGAAACCCCTGCCCCAGTATCTAGCTGGAATTTCATTTGCACATCATCAACAATTACATCAACATGTAATGGAGGGGTAACCGAGTCGGACTGTATGTTGAACAGATCGCTATTATCTTCATCTAGGTTGAGCTCGGCTTCAACAGCATTTGTTTGCTCGTGTCTCTCCTTTTTGGGCTGTTGAATTTTTTGTTTTGACAAACAAACTTTCTCTATGTGGCCTACTTTGCTGCAGTAATGGCATTTGGCATTGATAAATCTACATTTGGGTGCGGTGTGTGATTTATCGCCACATCTAAAACAGTGTTTATTGCCTTGTTTGTAGGCTCCGGAGGACATTGGATGTGCACTGTGAGTATAGCTAGCTTTATTTGGAGCAGTCTTGGGTGAGCAACCCACTTTATTTACTGGACCACTACCAGTAGGTGTCTGCAATGCGTGAGCATCTTGGTTTGCAAGTTCCTCTGTTACTGAAATGTTGTAAGCTTTCTCGAAGGTGAGATCGGTTTCAATCAATAATCTCTTCTGGATTTTCTCGTCATTTATTCCGGCTACAAGCCTGTCTTTAAGCATGTCATTCAAGGTATCTTTAAAATCACACTTCTCAGCCAATTTTTTCAGTTTGCTAACGTAGTCAGGCACAGATTCATTCGTTTTCCTTGCACGAGTGTGAAATTTATACCGTTGAACTGTGATTGAAATAGTTGGCTGGTAATGATTTCTCAATGCACTTACCAGCTCAATGTAAGACTTCTCAGTCGGTTTGCTAGGTGACACGAGGTTTCTAAGCAAGATGTAAGTTGCAGGACCAATAACACTGAGGAGAATGGCTCGTCCTTTTGTCATTTCTTCGCTTCACAGCGTTTGCATTTGATCCATCGGTCGCAAGGGCAATTTCATCCAAATCATTCGCAGTAAAATAGACCTCTAGTCTTTCCATGTAGACATCCCATTCTTCTTTGTTGCCGCTAAAGTGTTCAATCTTTCCATAAGACATCCTCGTCGCCAGTTGTTGTGAATTGGGTCGCAAAATATAGTAAAAGAAACGAGATAAATCCAACTCGATTTTACTGACTCCATTACTTCCTCAGCTCGCACGTGTGTTTACAATTTATCCGCGGGGGGTCCCTAACCCTGGGCATACATAATAACTAACGTAACCTCTATACATATCAATATCCAAATGTCATACTGCGATTGCCAATCAGGCTGACAGTTTCAAAGTATTTTAAAGTAACGTTAATGTAATAAAAGGCTTAAATAACTGCTTACGTCCAAGAAGTTGCGTTTTCTTCAATTTCTTCGTGGTTATCCAGAATTGTTCAGTCATAATTTGCCCACATAAATTTCAAGGTACTGGGATGAATTGCCATCGAATTTAGCTGCTGTTTATCGCTTTGAATAAGAGAAATAACGTATTGGGTCGAACACGGTTCCGTGTCGAAGCTCAGTCGAGGTTCTCTGCTGATTTGTTGTTGAATACGGAATGAGAATAAGGTGTAAAATATGTCCACGATTCACAATAAAAGGATAAGAAATAGCCATAAGTAGTAAAAACAAGGTTGACCATAATACAACAGAAGACATTCAATTCAGTTTATTTAAGACATTTATCTAATCAGCTATTTTTCTATAAATTTACCGTTATCGTACTCATAAAAATATGACTGAGATACTGTTCTATTTCAAGCGTGTGAATTGTTGACATATTTTACACCTTATGCTCATTCCGTATTCAACGACAAATCATCAAAGAACCTCGACTGAGCTTCCAGGTTCTCCCCTTTTCCTCCACGAAAATTAACTTCTAGATTCTAATTTGATCTATCGGTAGCCTCATCTATGAGGTTGCAAAACCAGTTAGGCTATCCGATCACCATGGAGTGGTAAATCCAATTAGATTTAAAAAGATATATTATTAGAAGTTTCATGGGGGGAAACATGGGAAACGCATTTGCCTGCAAACGTTCTTAAAATATCAATTAGGCATTTTATCCAAAACTGATAATAATTGAATAAAACATTTGATGAAAGGATGCTTTAGAATCAATACCAACCTTTTCATTGCAGATTTATTCAAATATAATTGGTTCAGAAATTACGCTATTATCAAAAGTCAATGGCTCGTAATAAACCACGCTCGAAAATCAATTCTCATACTCATTAATAATTCATGAATAAACCAGCCAATCAATGGGTTATTTTTGGGTCACATGATGTTACTTGAAACCTGGTAAAGTGCTGTGAAGGGAATGCATTCAGTCCTAGGACTGAATTAATTTTGTTCCAGTTAATCCAAGTCGTATAATTATGTAATGAGATGAGAAGTCATTTCAAAGCCTCCAATATCGGACTGGACGGGATTTCAAGTCGAACTAATAGCGCAGCGCACTGATTCTAAAAATAGCTTAAAGATTCGGACAAACATTGCATTCTGTTTAACCGCTACGAGGATTATACGAACCGATTT